CCCAATTCCATGCCTTCTATTGCACGTGTAGAAACAGAGGAGGGCAGCTGGGATACAGGAGGAGGAGAGGGAAGGGAGGAAGGAAAAAAAGAAAAACTAAAACAAAACAAAAAGAAGAAAAAAAGTGAGAGAGCTCTGAAATGCTGCCAATAGTTATTCCAGGTCAGTTCTATCTGAGTTGAGGGTCATCCTAAACAAGACCACAAACTACGCATACCTTGTGTCTGGGTCACATTGCCCCATCTTTGCTATTTCGGGAGGGTCCTAGTTTTAAGAAGCTATTTGGTAAATTCTCAACTTAATTCTCATCCCTCAGAGACATTGCTAGGTAATAGGAACATTTTGCCAAAAGTATAATGACAATTTTCTGCAAAATACATTTGAGAAGGGAACACTTATTTGCTTAGTAGGATGATCCAGCTTCCAGGTTAGCCTTGTAAGCAGAAAGTCTGTTTGTTTGTTTGTTTTTTTAATTGCAGAGACAACTCTATCCAGTCTTGTTTTCAGTTTCTACAATATTGCATTTTTAGATTTCTGACCCTCCTTCACATTTCACTCAGGGTTTTGGAATGGGGAGGAATTCCTTCCCTATCTGTAGCCATCTGGCTTGAAGGCGTGTAAGGAGGTTTTGCTTTAATTTCAATAGTAAATAGTGGAAACTTCATTCCAAATTTATTACTAGCAATAGGCCCATCAGCTATCTATTTGTTAATGGGTTTGCCACAGTCTAACTTGACAAACGAACACATAGCTTTGCTTAAAAAGTAGAAAGACAGTGACAAAAATAAAATTCACCTGGGGAGGAAATGACATCAATACATTTAGAATACTTTTAAAATATGAAAACCATTTTGGGTTGCTATAGACTGAATGTTTGTGTTTGCCAAAATTAATATGTTGACATTGTAACCTCTATGGCGATGGTATTAAGAGGTGGGGCTTCGGGGAGGTGAATAGGCCTTAAGGATAAAGCCTTCATGAGTGAAATCAGTGTCCTTATAAAAGGGACCCCAGAGAGCTCCTGTCCACCTTCCACATGTGAGGCACAGCAAGAAGCCAGTAGTCTGCAACCCAGAAGAGGGTCTTCACCAGGCATCAGTTCTGCTATTGATCAAATCTTAAAAAACTTCCAGCCTCTCACTATTGTGAGAAATAAATGTATGGCAATTTGTTAGAGCAGCCTAAATCCTCCCCATAGTTGAGGGATTTGTTGCAGTTCTGGGGTCTGAGGGCAGTGAGGACATCAAAAACACCACCTTGGATGTGACAACAGTCCCAAGTCCCCTGCTTTGATGGCTCATGGACCATGATCAGGGAGAAATGAGACACTTAAAGATCTAAATGAAGTGGAGTGACAAGCAGATAAAGAAAGACAGAAGCTTCCCATGCCATGGGAGCTTTTGTTTATGAAATCACAGCTGTTCAGAGAGGTTTTACTGTTGACACTCACCCGTTCACCTCTAGTGCTCACTGGAACCCCCAGCGTCCCCACCAAGAGGCCATGGGGGGGGGGGGGGGACGCTGGGGGTCTGGGCAAAGGCTAAAGCCCAACTTCATTCCCTCAGATAGGCTTTGGAAAGAACTTGATGTCATTCTGGAATCTGGCCTGCCTACCAGGTAGGAACAAATCACCTTTGAGGCAAGTCTCATCACGGAACACATCTTGGGTATCAGCTGCAAAGCCTGTCATTAGCCTCCGTTGCCTCATCTTGCCCTTTCAGACTTGCCGCCTCCCGGCCCGAGTGCTCCCCACTCCCCTCATGTCTGAACTCATCTCCTCTTTCGCTGGATAAAGAGCTGCTGGTTGGGGCCGGGCCCTCCCTCCCCAGAAAGAAGTAGCTGCCTTCGGAATATCAGAGCAGTTCTAATCAGGCGTGACTCAGCTCCTCCGTGACCTCTGTTTTCATTTTTCCTCAATGAGGCTGCTGCTCTGGTCCTCCTTGTGGAAATATGTGTCCCTCCCTCCACCTTCTCCCTCCTTGCTCAATGTCAAGAGGAAAAATCCCTTTTAGGAGGAATGTTTAGAATTCTTGCCCTGGGATGGTTTTTCTCTCCTTGCCATTGCCCTTACCACCTCCCCTTCCCCTCAATTTGCTGTCTGGATGTTTCTCCCCTACACCAGTGTTCTCAGAGTTTGGGCTTATCCATCTAAAATTAGATGCCAGATTTCTTATCGATAAAACGTTGCAGTTCTTTCTTTCCAACATGTTTTCCCCCATTCAAATATTTCTTCATTTCAAACTAAGAAAAGCATCAATGCGTGTTTCTGTTTAAGTATAATTTTAAGTCTTTAAAACATGGGCCATTCACTTTAATCTTGCCATTAATGTGATACAGGCCTATTCTTTCTGGTGAGTTTAAAAGCTTTTGAGAAACTGCAAAATGCTGAAGGGGGCGCCCCTGATTCAGAAGAAGAAGAGAAATAAAGCTGAGAGCAAAATTGCTTGGTAGGAAGGAGCAAATGGAATCTGTCGATTTTCTCTTATGACTTTGACAATTGTTTTATTTTATTTTTAAAAAATGAGAACAGAAAAGGAAAAGATAACGCACCTAAAATAGTAATGCTATTTTCAGAGTTCTAGGATAATCCAGAACAGGGTCATTTTTTGAAGAAAAAGAAATAGATTTCATTTTTGGCAGTGGATCCGGCCACTGATTTGCATATTCCTTGACATGATAAGTTGTATGACGATGCCTTGAGTTCATTCCACAGATGGAAAATAGCAAGTACAGGAATTGGCTAAATACCCATAGGGACTACCATCTGAGGTTTGATTTGGAATCAAGAGAGTGTCCGACACACATTTCACTGAGCATGCTTGTCAAAAGTCTCACATTCCAGATGCACCAAGAATGCATGCATTGAGCACACACACGCCCCGGCCGACAGCTGCATCCCAGGCGGCCCTGGCAACACACATGTCCTAACACAGCTACAACAGAGCATGCTCCCAAGCCTTCCACAGCCCTCAGCCAATCAGCTGCCGAAAAGATGCTCAAGCAGCAGTTGAAGTGGGCCTGGCCTCTGGTATCCATGGCCACTCCAGAGAACTTCCTGTGACTCAGAGGAGGTGATGAGGAGGCTGTCCAAAAAAGGCCCCCAGTAGTCAGCCTGCTTCCTGCCCTCACTATTCCTCACTCTCATCTTTCTCTGGAGACCGTATACCTGTTTTAGGGGTTCAGATAGGCCACGCTACCCAGTAGTAACAGTAGTTACTAGCAAATTAATGAATAGAACCATGGTTATAGCTGAAGAATAGTTTTTACCTTATCGAATGTTCTCTCAGCTTTCTAAAAAAAAAAGTTATTTTGTTTTTCTGTCCTTTTGTTGTAAGTGGAATACTGTGCTTGAACCAAGCAGGCAATGTAAGGCTCCGACTTCAAGGCCATTTCTCGATAAAAACATCAAACAGCCCAGAACGGACCAACGGCTATCTGGAAGTCTACAGATAATGAGCTGAAACGCGGAGCCCTCTTGTGTGGGAGTCTCTGCCCGCAAGGTCTTTCTCACGGGCCTGCTGGCTTCTCCTATGTTTTGTCGGGCACGGAGAGAGGTTTGGAAAGCCTCTCAACCCAATTGCACGTTACTGGGCACGGGCAAGGTGCATTCCTGCTGAGCCTCACAGAGGCCTGGAACGTGCCCTGTGGCCACAGTAGCTCTTGGGGGCGACATCGTTGTGGTTCTCCCTCTGGACCGAGAAGCACCACTGCGGGCACCTGCTCCTGGCCCTTGCCTTGCCTTAGAGGAGCAGCATGCTTTCTGCCAGGTGTGTCAGAAATACTGCCTTTGAAACTTTGTTTTTTTTTTTTTTTTTGGGGGGGGGGAAGCGATGGTACTAAATCTACAGAAGACAGAGTCCTCCGCTAGGGACTTGCCAGCCCAATGGGTATGTTACTGAGCCCCTTTCTCATCCTCCAACCTTGGCGCTTCAGCCCTCCCAACTTTTTGTTTGAGTCAAGCGGATGATCTCACCACTCCAACCCCCTTGCATGATCCCACCCCCACCCCCATGCATTGCCCATTCATCAAGCCACATCGCCCTTTAAATGTGAAGACTCACCTTCAACCCCACCACCTCTTCCAAGGAGCCTCCCCTCCGAAGCATGACTGACAAACTCCCAATAGATGAGAACGCACACATCCCAAAACAAACACAGAAACTCACAAAAAGAGAAAATTACACATTCTCTACTTTCAGATATATGCGTCTATGAGGGCCAGGGAATCAACTTTATGCCAATAACCAATGAGCCATTTAAAACAATGGGGTATTTTTTTTTTTAATTGTCTTGGGGGTTACTCAGCAAAAGGCTGCTACGTTTCGTCTTCTCTTCCCCAAGGATTCTCCTCTTTCTTGAAATCCCTCTTTCTTTTCTTCTCAGCTTCTTGAATGCATAACTAAAGGGGGCTGCCACTTGCCCGATATGGATCATATGGAAAACTCTAGAAGCTGGGCCTCGAAATCCCCCCCTGGGTGGTGAATCACAAAGCTCGGGAAGAACCTTCACTTGCTCCTGGCAAATGCCTTAGCCACTTGATTTTCTCATCAGGAAGCCTGGATGACTACAGGCTTATATATTCCTGGGCAAACATGTCTGCTACATTGGCATAAGGGACCATAACACTCTAGAGAAGGCTCTGGGGAAAGATTGGGGGCAAGGCTCCTGGTAAGAACCAAGATCCAGCCTCAAAGAGGGCCTTTGGAGAGCCAGGGGATCCCTACAGAGCCCTGGATCTGAGGCAATCACATCAGAAAATACAAACAGATATGTTCGCTCGTAAATGCTGCCCTCTCAGGTCAGCGTTCATGCCACCTGTGGAGGGTGGAGAGACTTGTGGCAGAAAATGATCAGAACAAGGAGAAACACAGATGGAATGGCAATAGCTGGCAATTAGAACATGGCACCAAACACCACTGCCACAAAAGCTTACTAGCTGTAAAGCCACGCTATGCAATCTTGAAGCAAAACATTGCTGATTTTGTGGTTGTAAAACATACCTTCAACGGCAGAACTCAGTTTTATGACACCTTGAATAAAAACAAAAAGTGGCAGTTATATCATGGACCAGAAATACCTTTTCCAGTCTTCTCTTAACAAACACATGCTTCAGACCTGGATTTCTTTTTTCTTTTTTTCTGGTATTTCGATAATTTAACTAAACAAACGTTGACTTTAAGAACTGAGTAACTTTCATTCTGTGATTAGACATCGTGGGTGTCTTCGTTTCCCCAGGAAAAACATTCAAGGGAGTTTTTCGTGAAAATGATCTGACATGTGTCTGGGTGAAACAAAGGCCAATCTGTATGACTATTTCTGTAAGTAAATCACACTAGATAATGGATTAATAAAACTTCCCACAACGGCCACCAGTAACTAGTACTTCCTATTTATGATTGTGTACAGGAATCCTTTGAAATAGGCTGGAGCAGGGCTTCTGTTGAAATAGGTAACAGGTGGTTAAAACCATGATGTGATCTGGTAACCCCCTTCTCTGGGGGGGTTGGATTGCACGGGTTTTCCGGTCTGAGTGTTAGGCAGTTCGGCTCTCTGCAGGTCAGACAGAGAGAGGACTACCCGAGCATGCCAAATTGTCCAGGAAGCAAGTGCACAGGACCCTTGTGCTTTTTGGGTGAATCCAAAGGTAAAAATACAAAACCAAGATATATTATACCTGCTTCAATGATTTGATTTAAAAAGTGTCCTTTTGTAAGTAATAGTTTTAAATAAACATTCCCCCAGGTCTCTGTGATAGCCATGATCTGTAGGCTGAGCAGAAAACATTGTCTACAGCTTTGTTTGGTTGACATCCTGGTTCTCTTTGAAGTTGGAGGAGTTTCAAATTAAAAAATGGAAACAAAATGGGTAAACCAAATGGGCGTCAGCATGAACACACTCTGATTTTAGCAGATTATGTTCACAAAAAAGACAAACTTGCTATTTATTATACATTTCAAGTTACCTGTTGAATTTCATGTTTCCTGCAGAACCAGGAGTGTCTGTCTGCTCTGTGTTTAACAAGGGACTCTTCAGGGGGAAAAATATGTATACTATATGTATGTGTGCTTAGTATAAATTTTGCTAATATGAATGACGTGTAGTACACAATCTACAAGTAATAATAGAATATACAGTACTCTTTATTGCAAGTTCTATTAGAGCCAATTGACACTCCCATAATGCTACTGTTGATTTGGGCCAAACACTTGTCTCCAGAGCCAGCAAAGCAACCATGATTTGACAAATTCATGCATTGTCTAACGTCCCAACTGCTCTTTTTCCTATAAATTTATTATCATTACACCTTTTATATAATTTATTGTTAAACTATTTTTTTTACGTTCATATAAATTATTGTCATTAAATTAAAACTCTTTCAACTTCAACACACTGTGTAGATACTTCCACCATGACGTATTTGAAGCTACCAGTTTGACGTCACTGAACGTGGAGCTGAGAAGAGATAAGCAGTAGCAACACCATTGTATAGTATTTCATTATACAAGTACAGGAGATATAAACAACCTTATCAGTATAGATAGCAAAATGTAGTGAGATGATTATGATGTAAGGATTTTTAGGTATTTACTACCTTTGTTGTATTTTTTGTTTTTTTGGTTAATTCTCACCTGAGGATATTTTTTCCATTGATTTTTAGAGAGAGGGGAAGGGAGAAAGAGAGAAACATCGATGTCAGAGAGACACATCAATTGGTTGCCTCCTACACAAGCCCGACCAGGGCTGGGGATTGAGCCTGCAACTGAAATATGTGCCCTTGACTGGAATCGAACCCAGGATCCTTCAGTTTGCAGGCTTAGCCAAACCGGCTAGAACTATTACCTTTGTTTTTAATATAATCTACTTAATTATAAGTTTAAATGATTTAATTTGTAATAATGGCTGTGTTTAATAATGGACTCACAAAATTTCTGAAAATGTAACAACTGGCTCTCCCAACCTGGTCTGAACCAGATCTAGCATAGCATTATCTTAACTGATGTTTCTTTCTACTCAGGCCCAGAAAAGAAAATCCCAAGCTTCAAAATACTTCCTGAGTTATTCAAAAAAAGGATTATAATTTAACTGAACAAGCTGAATGTAAGCTTAGCAGTTACTATTACTTTGCCAGTAATTTCAAAACCTTTTAAACCTTTCATATGCAAAAGTATACTGTACATAGGTCACCTTGGAAATAACAGTCATTGGCAATCAATGAAGAACACAGCCTAAACAGACTTGTCATCCTTTTGGTCAGGTGACTATGCCAAGAGGTATGAGTCATTGGCTTATTAAACAATGATCCTGTCTTTTGTAAACTGTGGAATCTTTATACAGGAAACCAGGTCAAAATATTGATTTTTTTTCTGCCATATTTGTTTTTGTGTTTAACCATGTTGTCAGCAACAGTGAAAGGACAAGGCACTCTAATCGGTGAGTGGAAATAGGTGCTATGCAAGTAAAGAAAGAAAATCTAAACACGTCCTTATAGGAGATGTGGGTGGACATGGACCAGAGCCCAGTAATGCATTTGTTGGGTAAGGAGAAAAAGATAAGTTAAAAAAAAAAAAAAAGTCTGACTTAAGGCTCTAATTATAAAGATTATCTTAATAAAAATGTTAGTGATTCATTAGCTCCATGTGAAGTTTTTATTATTATTATTTTTTTTTTAACTCAAATCAAGTTTTTTTTGTTTTTTTTAAAATAGTAGGATAGGCTTTTCATTGCAAGTATCTATGCTATAGTGAAAATAAAAAAAAGTAGCTAAATCTAGTTGGATAGCTAATATGAACATTTTACAAAAAATTATAGAATGAGGGAAAGTATATGTGTTATCTTATAATAGGAATACTTTTTTTAAAGTTTGAATATTTAAGAAATGATTAATGTTGATGCTGAAAAGATACACGTAGCACTGCTGAGTTCCCGGACACACAGTAGACATTATCTGGTGACTGGCTGACAGTGACATTGCCTGGGATTCAGGGTGAGCAATAACACATACACATATGTACTGTATACACACAATGGATCTCACCCTCCCCACCCCACATTTAATTCTTCACAGTTTGCAGAAGTGTTTGAAAGGTAGAAAAAACAAAAAACACAAAAGAGAGAAAAGGAAAAGAAAACAAACTGTTCTTTCCTCAACTCGTTATCTTTAGTGTAGTAAAATTCCCAATCTTGTGGGTGATTCATGCAGACCATGTCCATTGTCTTCCTACAAGTCAGAGCCAAACACTAACCAGAAATGCTTTCTGCAGCAGTTCTCAAATTCCAAACTTACTCCACTGTCTTTCCTACCACTCTCACCTAATGATTAATTTCAATTGATCTAAAAAATTCTTAGGAGAAAGGGTCAGGTTAAAGTGTGACAAGGGCTCACTAAAACCCTCCAATGATACCTCATGGTTGTTGAAATACTAATCAAAATTTTTAACCCTGGCCATCAAGGCCCAATGTGACACATCCCTGCTTATTTTCCTATTTATTCTACTTCATCTCACTTGACTTTCTCTTTTATTTAAGATGAGAGGCCTGATGCATGAATAAGGTCCCCTGGCCTGCTGGATTGGGCTGGAACTGGTTCTCCAACATTCCCCGAGGGGGCCGGGTTTCAAAAGGGCACAGGCCAGCCCGAGGGACCCCACTGGTGTACGATGGGGTGATGGGGCCCCGGGAGAAATATGGAAAGTTGCCCAGCCTGTGGGAGGTTTCCAGGGTGTGGGCAGCTGGTCTCGCTCAGTCACAGTCAGTCAGACCCCAGCAGCAAGCTAACCTACTGGTCAGAGTGTCTGCCCCCTGGTGGTCAGTGCATATCATAGCCAGCGGTTCATCATCCTTAGCATATCATTAGCATATTACACTTCAATTGGTTGAACAGCTGACCCATATCTGAACACTTAGCAAATTAGGCTTTTATTATAAGTTTATCAACCAGTTGGAGACAGATAATGTCCTAAATGGACTTCAAGGAATGTTAGCTAATTCATTTTATATCCAAATATCTCTAGAATCTACAGTTCTCACCTTTACTGTCATCACCCTAAGCCAAATTATCATAGCCATGTTCACATGACTCTGCATGCTAAGAATTGAGAAAGAGGAACTAAGAAAGAGCCATTCAGTTTTTAATATCCTCCTCCCAGTGCATTCTTACACTGCAGCTGGAGTGATCTTTTCCAAAGCAAGTACAACTATATGATATCCCTCACTCCTTTAAAAATGTTATATGGCATTTTATAATTCTTAAGTTTAACATGACTTGAAAAGCTCTTCATGATGTCGCCGTTGGCAGAATAAGTATGGCTACAAGTTTCTCCCTCCAGTTGCCATAGAGTTGGGGGCTATGTGCCTTCTTGAATCCAGGCAAGCTCTCTGACTGCTTTGAGCATTGAAATACAGTGGAAATGATGCTCTCCCAGGGTCTGTGCCCAGGCTTTCTAAAAAACAGACAGCTTCTTCTTCTTGTCTGTTGGATTGTCCCTCTTGGAACCCTGAGATACCAGGTTAGAAGTCTTGGAATTGCTATGATGAAGAGGCCGGGTGCAGACGTTCCGATAAACCACATCAACTGAGGAAAGAAGCTGGACGACCTGGCCCTGGAGGAAAGTGTTGATGAAAGCTGGGAGGGCAGAAAACAACTGACCTCGGAGATAGAAAGAAAACACAACTTTTCTGATGTAGTGGCAGAAAGTCTGGCAACATTATGACCTGTAGTAACATGTAAAGTAGAAAATATACTTAGTGAATTATTAGATTTTTGTGAGAAGATTTCTAGGCAGAATGATTAAAGTGCCAATTCATTAAAAAAAAAATAGTTGCATATAATAAAATGTAGATACAGACAAGTTAAAAAAAGAACTGCCCAGTTCTCAAACAATATGTAGAGAAAAATATAGAGCTAGTAATGGTCAGTTTAAAGAAAAAGGTAAAAAAGGTTTCACATTTCTAGCCTTTTTAAAAGCAAAACTCTCAAAGTAAGAAGTTGATTAGGGTGGAGATCATCTTTAGGGTATGGCCTTTCATACGA